ACCTGATCGTAGCTATGAGATCCTTTTTAACGGTGGTGCCATTTGGTGCTATCTTTTGGACATCAATCTAAACTCAAGGTTTTATCACCGCGGGGAATCGAATCATGCACGAATATTGTAATGATTTTCAGCAAAAAGCCGTAAGAGGAGAAAACTCATTGCTGGTTCAACGCAAAAACCACTTTGGGAAAGCACTTGACGTTGTGAACGACGTTTCCGGTGAAATTGAAAACTAGTTCACTGACCTTCGACGACCAGTTCGGAGTGGACGTCTGGGATTGCTGGCCTCTACCTCAATGTCGACCAGTGCCAGAGAAATGTAGTTTTCTGTAATGGCGGGCCTGTCATTCCCACAAGTAACGATCCAATTTCCCCACAGCGTCTACGTCGGTAAGTGTCTTTCTGCGTATTCGTTTCGTCGTCTATAAGACGTCTGCCTAACAACTGGTTCTGTTTTTATTCCTGCGACAACAATATTTTACGTGAACGAGGTGGCCTACGCGGACAATGCAGTTAACTGTACGGCTAAGCTTACTGTAGGACCAATGTCTTCGTCTCGTCGACATTAATTTTTTTCAAAGAAAAAACGGTGAGTCAGCGTGTTTGTTGCTGAGTCATATAATCGTCGATTTGTTGTTCGTCAAATGATCTCTCCGACTGAAAACAAACAATTCAGATCTGAATATCGTTCATCATGAGTTCGTCAACCTAGGTGGAGACGTCACATCTTGAATGGTAAGTAGTTGAATGAAAAACACATTTCCTACATTAGCTGTTAAAAGTGGTGAGTAATTCTAGTCAATACTTTCATCCAACTGGATTCGGTGATCTGGGTTCATTGATCTAGAATTGTTGGCACTACTGTAGCCCCGGGAAGATGAAAAATTACCTACGAAACTTCGCCGAAGAGTGTTATACAGATCACGGAAGTGCCTTCACCGCCACACCTTTTCCCTCCAAATTCTGTAGGAACTTACATATGGGGTTATTTGGCGTCCTGATCATGAATACATATGGCTTTCGTTTTTGATAAAGCCTGTATCTGGCATTAGCTCGATGGAGTTTGGCAATGGCGATCCCAGGATCGCATCATAGCATGATCGATACGCATCTGAAACACAAAAAAATTGCAAGGTCCCCCCATGGCAAGATCGCAAACTATGATCGCGACCGTAGGCCCATGTCAAACTTAGCGAATCGCTAGTAGCAAACGAGCGAATCGCCAAGTCTGACACCGGCCCGAGTATTTACCCTGCGCCACACCTTAGGGTCAATGTATTAAAATCTTGTTGGATGAAAAAACAACGTGCACTAAGGCGGACTAGCTTCGACTAGGCGAGCATACAGATTTATTGCTGGGACAGATACAGCTGAAAATTTCAAACTTTTCAATTGCGCTTACTGAAATGGAAAACGAGGCTCATCACAGCCAAACTAGGTAACAATTAGGTCTCGGCTAATTTGCGGCAAAAATCATCATAGAAGGGAGGCTATTATAGTTGATGACTAAAGTTGGTGACTTGAAGCTGTCTACCACGGCAGCGAGTGTTGGCTCGTAGTATGAGCCGCGTGGGGCATCCTCACCCCCACACAAGGCCTCAAGAACATCGACTACGATGCTGTAAACGTGTGCTGAGAAAGCCACAGGATCCCCTTTTTAAAAAATGGTCGCAGCCCAGAGCAGGCGACTATGAAAACTTGAAGAGGAGTTCGAGGTTTGTCGTCAAG